CCCATCCCATTTTTTTTTTTTTCTCCAATCCTCCAGACAACCTGGGCCGTTATTGTTGTTGTTTTGGTCATTGGGGTTTTTTGTTTATGTATCGGTATCTTATTATTAATTGGAGTGGCAGCAGTAGTTAGTATTTCACTTGGAATTATACTTAGTTTAAATAAGAATAATGGTAGAGAAGTTCATCTTGCGAAATCAAGAAAAGTTCATTTCTGATTTATTTTGCAGACATGGAATCTTCAACAACTGCAATGACTTCCGTAATAACAACTGCAATGACTTTGGTAACAGCAACTGCAATGACTTCCGTAAGAACAACTACAATGACTTCCGTAATAACAGCTGCAATGACTTCCGTAACAACAACCATTGATCCGTGTAAGTATAATCAGCGATGGTGTGCACGAAATAATCTTATGACTTAACACCCATTCATTATAATATGTGAAATTCATGTACTGAGCGGTAATGATTCGACTTAAATAATCATCTCTTATGTATTTCAAAGTTGAATGTGCCATCAGTTATTTCTAACACATCTCAGGACTCAACAGTGCTGGAGAGTTTGGATTTTTTACAAATTAAAGCCAAGATTCTGACGTATCCTTAGAAAATGTAAGTTTAAAAGTGTTCTTTTAAACTATAGTTCTGAAAGGATTTTTAGAAAGCCGTCCGTGGTTCGAAAACGTGTAATAGAAGTACATGAATCTTTCCCACAAGTAGAGCAGCCAGAGTGTCCTCTTCAATATGGGAATTAAACGAGACCTCGGTTTCAGACGACTGCGTGAAGCGTCAGAATTTCTCAGATTTTTTGGACTAGCATTTGGGAATCGATTATTGCTAATCGAGTACGCTGATGAGGGAACCTCTCCAGCTTGAAAACCGCTTTTGACTCAAAAACCAGTGGATAATAGGTTATCGACCGTGATGATCCTGAATGTGAACATGATTTCTGCTGCTAGGCCTTCCAAGATCCGGTTTTCTAGAAAACATTTTTTCAGAAACTCTAAAAAATAACCAAAACCTTTCTTAATGAAGCATAATTGTAGCCCGCAAATTTCTGATTAAAACGAGATATCTTCCGGCTCTACACGAGCTTTCTTTGCAAAGTTATAGAATTTATAACAAAAGCCCTAAATATTCATTGTCAGCTCAAAGCTACAGAAAATAAGAAGAAATTAATTTCGGGCTTTTCTTGTAAATTGTACAACTTTGCAAAGCAAGGTCGTGAAGAGCTGGGAGATGTCTCATTTTAATCAAAAATTTGCGGGCTACAATGATGTTTGATCAGAAGGGTTTTGGTTATTTTTTAGAGTTTCTGAAAAACCGGATTTTAGAAGGCCTAGCGGCAAAAATCATGTTCATATTCGGAATTAGCACGATCGATAACCTATTGTCCACTGCTTTTTGAGCCAAGAGCGGTTTTCAAGTTGGAGAGGTTCCGTCGCGAGCCCTATTATGACTTCTATTTTGGAAAAAAGTTATCTGTTTTAGCGAAAATATACGGTTTTAAGCCAATTTCACTGACTATCATAAAATCTACATCTGTAGCATAATTGTTCCAAATGATTATATTTAGTTAATTTCACAATCGCTTTTGTAATTACTAGAGACTCTAGTAACTACAAAAGCGGTTATAAAATAAACTAAATATAATTATTCAAGTCGAGTTTCACATTTATATATGTTCCAAATGAGTCTTGCAGTATTTTAACGAAAAGAATGGAACATGACCGAGAAGAAAGCGAAGCGAACACATACGTCGATGTCTCAATTATTCTTCAACTAAGGATGACTTATGATATAAAGCGAAAAATAGCATAACGCTGATTGTTGAACCAGCCACAGATGTTTTTTGAAATTCTAGTTTGGCATAAGATTTTGAACGTACTTTTTCATGAAAAGATGATCAAAATCTTGGTCTTTGTGGAAAAGCCGAACTCTCTATCTCTGTTTATTCCAGAGATATGCAAGAAACATACTTCGAAACGAGCAGAACGATATTTCTAAAATGAAAACTCGTTTTTCAGGTAGTTTTCGATGGAATTTAACAGGAATAACAGTGGCAGGAACAACTGGTACAAATGGTACACTGCCAAATCAGCTGAATTTACCATATGGCATATTTATTGATTCAAATAATGATTTATATGTAGCTGATTACAAGAACCATCGAATACAAAAATGGTTGAGTGGTGCTTCAACTGGCACAACAATCGCTGGACTTACCAATTGTACAAGTGGATCAACTTCAAATCACCTATATTATCCTACAGCTGTTTACGTTGATAGAAAAAATCAAAATTTATATATTGATGACTCGGGCAATCATCGAGTACAATTATGGAATAATAGTGCTACCAATGGTGCAACTGTTGCAGGAACTACTGGTAACGCTGGAAATGGGAGTAATCAAGTGGGTTCATAGTTCTTGTCTGTCATCATTACTCATCATGTACCCAGATAACGTTGGATGTTGTTTTTTTAGTTAAGTTACATTTACGGTATTTGGGTTGATTCAAACGAGAATATTTATGTGACAGACCGTGATAATTATCGTGTTATGAAATGGACTTCTGGCAATGCATCGAGTGGGACAATTGTGGTTAATCAGCGAAATGTACAGTTGAATATGCCATACGGAATATATTTAGACGAAATCAGTAATTCAGTTTATATATCAGATTCTGCAATTCATACAATTATGAAATTAGTCTTAGGCGCTTCAAATGGCACCATAATTGCGGGCATATCTGGCATAAGTGGTTCGAATTCAACTTTAATGAATAGCCCAACGTCAATAACATTTGATCAATATGGTAATCTATATGTTGCCGATAGTCAAAATCATCGGGTACAAATGTTCTGTCCAAATTCACTATCAGGAATAACAATCGCAGGTGGTAGTAGTGGCTTGAGTAGTACACAGTTACATTCTCCATTAGGTCTTGCTTTAGATTCTAATCTCAATCTCTATGTATCAGACTCTAAAAATCATCGGATACAGAAATTTATGAAATTATAAGAAGAAAACCGAGAAGAACTGTGCATCTGAGAATAATATGCTTTAGATACTATCCCTGTAAAACATATGAAGACATTAGTGACCTCGAAATATTTTATGTCACTTTGCCTTTGATTTACCAGCCACAAATGATGTTATTGCAGGGTTTTATTTCCATCCTGCTTAGTTTATATTATTCATGTATGACAAAAACTGTTTTCGCTCATAATCATAAAGTTCGTCGTTTTCCTTCTACCCGTACTTTACAAATGTAAGAGTATATGACGGTTTAAAAGTAAGAGTTTTTATTTTACTGCGCATCCAATCTTTACCATTCCTTTTGAAATTGTCTCAGTTAACTTCTCAGTCTTGCACTGACATTAATGTAAAACCAAGAACCAGCAAAACTATGATATGTAAAAACCTATAATGTATACAAATATGTATACATAAAAGGCGATCGTTTTTAAATATATGATCGTAGGTTGATTTATTTCTTATACTAGACGTGTCTCATTGCCTTACTTTGAATTTCTCGTGGGTTGTTCATTCACTACACACTATCTTCACTAGACTAACCAGTGGACTTATATTGAGTTTAAGTAGTAGCAATACTCAAAAAAGAAATCTTTCGTTTTTGAAATAAAATAAAAACAGAACACGCTCATATCGCATCTGAGTAGATGAAATAAATAGGAACGAATGCATGTGTTGCTCTAAGGGTTCTACATAGCTAACCACGTTTACGAGATTTTACGTTTTTTCAACGTATAGATCAAACATGTTGAGCGAAATTAGTTACAAATGCAATGATATAACAAATAATATTAATAAATACATTTAAATAACTCATACCAGCGCAATGTACCCCTAACGTAGTGTACGCATTGCTAAACACACTAAAACACGTGTCACACTATACTCCAATGCAGCCAACTTAAGTCGTTCTTCTCGAATAGCTAATAAAAATAAAAATAATCTAACAATCATATATAATGTATCATTCTCAGACGATGACGACTTGACCTCTGCTGATATGACTGTAAAAAAAAATAGATCAGCGACTTCCAAACGGATTTCTGATACAAAACAAAATAAATTGGGACGGTTTTAAAATATTGCTTAAAGATAAGAATCCATATAAATTATAAATAAAAGAATCTTTAGCCATAAACCCAAATTGAACAACACCGTACGCTCTCTTCTTTTTTATATTTTTTCTGACGATATTTCAAAAAATTTAAGCAAAGATCCAAGAGGATAGAGTATTTATTTCTGCACATATTTCAAATCAGTTTCTTTATATTCTATTTTCCTTCCTACTTATTGTTAAGATTATTTAGTTCATCGTTTCCACAACATGTACCGTTTTCTTTTTCTTTTATACTTCCAATATATACATACATATTTTATTTCTACTTTTCTATTCAAAAGAACTCCGTATATCTCTATTTTTTTCTCTAGTGTAATGTTGACGCATGCTAAATTAACGTGAAACTCATATTTTCGATTTCATTTTATGATAAACATCGCTCTTGTTGTTACGTGTCTTCTTGATGAGAATTGTGTTCTCGAAACGTCGATAAATAAAATTTTAAAAAACTAAAAGTCAAAATAATGAAAATCCAACACACTGCTGTATTACTAATCTTCGTTCTTATACTGTTTAGAAGGATACCGCGCGTCTCGGACGATATTAACCAATAACTTTTAATAATATTTTTCTGACTTTTGGAAAAAATTTTACTTTCCGATAAAAAACAAATCCAAAAATACTGTCAGTAATACCAGGAAATAGAACAAACATTTCTGATCAAAATCAGATATTTCCCAGCTCTGAATGATGTTCTAATCGAGAGTTATGAGAGTTTTGCTGAAAGCCCTAAAACACGTATCAAATACTAGCGCCACCATATCTCGAAAGTAACGTTCACCTTAACACCACTACGTAGGTGCAAGTTTTCTCGGTAACGAAACATCGCAGATAGCGCGGGAAGGACTTAAATTGAAGCTGACATATGTGGCTAGAGGCTAATAGAGCTCGACTTTCCATATTCGAGCCAGTTATTGAGACTTTTTCAAACTTGGGCCTTATGACGCTGATCATTAATTTGAAAAGTAAAATATCATTTCCTGCGACATAATACATACGACTATTTAATGTTAACCGATATGAAACATTCTTCACTGTTAGTGTAATATGCTTTTTGAGATACACTGAAGCGTAACTGTGTATAATACGAAAGACGAATATTAGTTTCATTTGTAAATAATGTGTACGAGCGGACAGCTAGTGAAGATCATTTAGAACAAGTGTTGGCGCAGTTTTGGTTTTTAAAAAAAGAAAAAACCGC